GTGGGGGTGTGTGTGTGTGTGGGTGTGTGTGTGGGTGTGTGTGTGTGGGTGTGTGTGTGGGTGTGTGTGTGGGTGTGTGTGTGTTTGTGTGTGTGTGTGTTTTTTGCTCACACACCTTTTTATGTCTGCAAAAAGGTTAGTGCCAGCCGTCAGCGATTGTTGCTGGTTCCTCGTTTAAGGAAGCTTTCGGCTGAAACCCTTGGCCTCTCAGTGTTTCGCTTTCTTTGCATCAATGGAAAAAGGAAATCAGGAGAAAATGTCTTGTGGTCTTGGTCATTGCATTGCACCGGATGGCGCCATCTTTGGATTCAATGCTGCTGTCGTGGATTGCAGCAGTTCAAGAATCTGTTGTTCAGGATCCTTTGCAAAGTCAGGTGAAGCAGCAAGAGGCGCTTCAGTATATAATGGCAAGGAGATGCAGTCAGATCGCATCAGCCAAGCCACTGTCATGTTTTGCAAAAATAATAGAGGAACACGCCAAATTGGTTCTGGTCTCTGATTGTCTTGGGTAAGCAGCCACTGAATTGGGCGGACACCATCTGTCACCGTTGGTTGGACCTTCAAGAGGGCCTGATAATGGCCTGCTCTGTCAACTCCCAAATGTGTCGCAGCTGCAATCAAGACATACGTTGCAAAATCATGTTTCAGTGAGGCATCGCAAAAGATTGGTAAAATGGTTTCAGAATCCAAATTGATGACACAACCGCTCTTCTCAATCTGGCCCGACTCATTTTCAAACATTCTGTCAATGTGCACGCAGACAATTGGAGCAGCACTCAAAAGTGCGGCTTGCATCCCGTATGCCTGGCACCAAAAGGATACTAATTGATCAAGTCTGCACTGTGGCTTGGTTGCAATTTCAATGGGGAACTGTAACAGCAGTGGCATGGTGGAAGCGCCAGTGTCCTGGCAGCGCACTTGTTCTTCCATCTCGCAGCGCCGCTCCCAGCTCATGTTGATTGCCGGGGAGTCTAGCCATTGCAACATGGTATGTGTGAACTCACCACAGTCCTGTTGGTCCTGTGATCTTCCCCAAAACGCAAGTAACTGCTGAAACCATTCCAACTCAACAAGCTTGACAGTATGGTTTTGGCTATCAAAAAGCATTTTGTGCAGAGACTTGCAATGTTGTCCCCATGAGATCTCTTCAGCATCACTCAAGCTGAGCAAGGTCCAGATTAAGCAGTGCACCGTTGCGTTGGCATAGCACCAGGTGCTGTCATTGTCAAGGGCCAAGCGTGTAGCCAAGCTGCGCAAGTTTTGGAGGTCAGCTGAGTTCAGGAGCCTTTGTGCTTGCCCTGAGACTTCCCTCCCTTGCCACGACCCTTTGTCGCTGTCATCAGCTGGTGCAGGGTGTCCGCCAGATGGCTGTTCTTGGTGGAATGCAGTTTCAGTGTTGTCCCTGCCAGCAGCCATATCGAAGAATGAGTCAGGGCAGCCAGGAGCTCGTAGGGGCGATCCGTCCTCATATTGAGTTGCAGTTTCCATGGCACTGCTGCTTGCGCATTGCTCGTCTGCAGCCCTTGAAATCGTACCACCAGCGTTGAGTCCTGGAAGTCCTCTATGAGTTCCTCCAAGTGCTGCAGCATCTTCGGCATTGTGACTGCCTTCTTCCGGTCTATCACAAGGGCCTTCTGGCTGGGATCCCATCGAAGGAAGGGCCAGCTCATGTCTTCCAGAATCAGCTTCTTCTCTAGGCACGCTTGCTGTATGGGGTCTCCCACTTTGCATTCTGAAACCTTCAGGGCTCTGGTCTGGAGCTCCTTCAGCAACCAGAGGCACAGGTGCTGTCGCAATGGCCGTTGTGGGGCTTCGGGATTCTGTTGTCTCAACGTCTGCCATGTCTGAGTTTCCTTGACCAATCCCTGCAACGTGCCCGCCTTGTCCTGTTGGAAGTACAGTATGAAAGAGTCTGTACTTTGCAGCAAGTTCAGACTGCGCTCGTGACGCAAGATCAGTTGCCCCATCACTCGAAGGCATTGTAGCACGTCTGGAGGGTTGCTGGTTTCTGCAGGATCTGGATCGTGACGTCCTGGCTGCTGACCCTCTGTGCGACGTTGTTTTGGTGTCTTCGGGTTTGGTGCCAGCCTCAGCGTCTGATCCAGCATCGGCTGCAGGAACTGGAAGGTCTCCTTGATTTGCCCCAGTGCGCTGACGTCCAATCCATTCATAGCCGAGTCTCCCTCCATTTAGAGCCGTGCCCAGTAGCAATGAGCTCTGGAGCAGGATGGGGCAATTGCCCTGCAAATGATCTTGAACCAGCTTTGTTCTGGAAGGCAGGTCAGCAGCGGTATCAGGTGCAGGTGGCAAGTTGAAGATCTGGTTGCACAAGTCGCACTTGTAATCAGTTGTCAGAGCTTTCAAAAAAGTTGGCAACAGGGATTCATTGTAAAAGTCAACAAACTGGTGCCCTGTGGTGTGCGCCTCATGCAAATGTCGACACAAGAGGCCAGGTGCATATGATTGGCCGCACAGGATGCACGTCGTGCTGAGCCACTGCAAGACTTCCTGATCTGTCCACATGTCACGAAATGCTCTGTCTGAAAACAGCCGTTCCAAACGAAATTTCATTGGTCTTGGCATTGAGGGGTGGACAAGCTGTGCAATCACATCATCCGTGAGTTGGATCGGCATGAATGGCGTTTGGCCAATGCGGTGGTACATCATTGCAATCTGCCTCAGGGGCAGGCAGATGTGTTGATTGCGGACTTGATGAATTTGCGGGTTGCAAACGCAACCATGTCTTGCAAACACCAGTTCAACTAGGAGCAAGGTCAAGCGCTGAGATTTGTACCATAACTGTGCGTGACATGTCATCAGGTGATGGGCCAGGTCTCCTGCTCTGGAGTACGCCTGTAGGCATTGTTTGCACCTAATGGTCATGTGCAACCGGTTCATAGGTGGGAGCAACTGTGAAAACATTTCACCATGAAGGCACATTGCAATCCAGGCCTCTGTGACCGGTTCCGTTTCTGCTTGTGCAGCCGGGTTGAACAGGTGACACCTGCCTTGGGTTATGTGCCGACGCAATCCCTCCATTGACTGGTGGATAGATCCACAGTGGGCGCATGCCGGCTGGGAATCCAGGCTGTCTCTTGCCACATTGAACGCCAGGCCAGCTAACTTGTGGGTAGTCTGCAGGTGTTGGGTCAGCAAGGCAGCTGATGTAAATGGTTGCAAACAAATGTCACATCGAAACCCAGCAACTGCCTGCAGATCCTCCGGTGGCGCTGCAAGTCCTCCACCGTGCAATATCAATACTGCCATCTGAACCCACACGGGGCATTGATGTGTCTTGAATCCACTGCCGCAATGTGGACATGGTGTCTCAGAGCTGTGGAGGTTTGTTAAAACCAGAGCTTTCTGTGATACGTTTGTCCAGTATTGGGCATGAGCAGTTCGAAAATGCAAGTGCAAGTCCTGGATCCGATGGGCATGCTGTCCACAGATGAAGCAATGCTTGGACAAATAGGAGCATGCCTCCTGGTCACGTTCCAAGGCTGATAAATTGTCATCTGCAATGAGGGCCAACACCCTCGGACCCCATGGCATAGCACGCAATTGGCTCAAATCTGCTTCAGTCAAAAGCTCTGTGCCTCGAACTGACACATCTACCCTTGGCTGGCGCAGGCTGGTTGCCATGGCCACTTTGTTCTCAACTCCAGTGCACGGGGCAGGGCCCAAAAGAAGCGCCTGGCAGCCGCGTTCGATGTGATTCTGAAATGATCTCCAAGTGGCAAATTGTGTTTTACAGTATCTGCATGTTGGCAAACCATCTGTGGTAAAATTGTTAATGGATTGTGGGAAGGATCTGAACATGTGCATTCCATGAGCAGCAGTGCAGTGTCTTCTAAAAGCTGGGATGTGGTTTGTGCTGAAGTTACACAAATTAACAAAAATAAAGGTGGTCAGTAACAAGTACCTCGCCAGAGAGTGCAGTCTCGGTGCGATGCAAGGCCAGGGTGGCCTGAGCACTGGAAATCTTGGCAATGATGGCAGGCAAATGACTCCAGTCTAGAGTCCAGGCAATGTCATCTGCTGGAATCCTAAGATTGCGCTGGGCTATCGACTGTTGTAAAGTCTCCACAGCTGAGGTCAGCAATTCAGCCGGGTGTGGAAAGGATGAAAACTGAAAAACCTGTTCATTGGTGTGGCCAGTGTGGTGCGAGTGATCTCTTGCAATTGATCCGAGCATCATTCCAGTTTGGACAATCATGTGTTGGATTCCTTTGGGCGTCACATCAACAGCAAAAGTACCATACGTGTATATAGGTAAAATGCACGTGCGCCAAAGCTGGAATCTCTGTTTGATACTGAAATGCGTCTTGTTGCAAAGCCACCGCTTGAGTCTGGAAAAACCAATGCGTGCCAGTTTCATTCTATGCCATGTGGTTGCATCCTCAAAATTGTGATATCCCAAGATACAGCCAAGATAATTGGCCTTTTGTTGCAATGGAATCAGCATTTCTGTCCCGTCAGGCATGGGAACTCTCAGGTGCTCTCCACGCAAGTCTTTGACCGTGAGCTTTGCTCGAGTCTTGACTCCCTGGTGACCATGAATGGTGAAAATGGCAGTGGATTTGCTAGGATTGGTTCTCAAATCAAAGTCATGAAGGGTTTGGATCAAAATACCAATGGCATCAAGCAAGGCCAGGAGTTCTTGAAGATTTCTAAAGATACCTCCTACATGTATGTCATCGGCATAAATTGATAAATGTTCCCGTATCCATTGGATTGTGACTTTGGTTTGGAGTGTATGTAGCATCAGCACCACCAGGCAGTTCCATAAAAATGGTGCCCCTTTGCACCCTTGGCGCAGGCCGCAAGTCACCTTGACTTCTGTGCTCACCCCTCCATGCGTAAGGAAATATGAAGTGTCAACATGCCAATTACGCAACAAACAAATGATATTGTCATCGATTTGAAGGATGTGGAGTTTTGAGAACAGTTTTGCGCGGTTTACTGAGTCAAATGCCTTTTCCAAGTCTATGAAAACTTGTAGTCCTCCATAGCAAGTCAACCTTGGTGCCAGTGCAGCCCTAGTGTGCGGAGTTGACTTTTGGCTGTCAACCAGGCTTTTGGTGGCCCTGCAGTGCAAGGCCACCTTGGTCAGTGGGTCTTGCGTTGAACGCAATGGCATGAAAGCCCAGATGGGCCAAGTCCTAAACTCTGGGGCCGTCTGCAAGGAGGCATGGTGAATCAGCAAACCAAAAACAGCCTTGCCCAATGGGCATTGCAGTGCAAGAGGTCGTAAATTCTCAGGTCTGACTGGCGGACGGCCCGGTTTTGGGATGAGCTGCAGCCATCCATTGCGCCACATGTGTGGAATCCAAGGCTCACTAGTTCCCCACCATTTAGAAAGTAAATCAAAAAGAATGGGGGCAATCGTAGCACAATGTGACGTCCAAATCATGCCAGGCGCACATGGTGGGGCTACAGCCTTCACACTCGGAATTCTGTACAACGCTTCAGTCAGTTCTGGCAAGGTGAACGGAACTCCTGGTGGAGTGATCGGATGCATCGGTGTCAATGGGTCACCATGCCATGTCTTTTCAACAAATGAAATGAGCATGCTCCTCTCTTCATCAAGCGTCATTAGAGCTCCTTGGGGTGAACGAAGCTGCATTCTGCGTTTGGGTGTTTTTGGAGCATGCCTATTAATGATGTCAAAAAGTTTGTGTGTGTGTCATGTTTCCCTGCTGCAAGACTGGCAAGTTGCAGTGTCTCCTCAAAACGTCTGCGTCGGAGTTTTGCTGCATACCTTTGGTGCTGTCGCTTAAGCATGGAAAACTTGACAACATGGAACCATACCTTGAAGCATCCCTTGAGATCATGCGTGGTAACACGTTGTGCCAATTGTCTATGTTCCCATTTGTTGATGGTGATAGGATTGAGTTTCCAAGGTTCTGGTTGTTTGATACGTCCAACTGCAGGGAAAATTCTGGAGAAGTGTGCTTTGGCAACATCATGAGCATCTTGAAGTTCTGGTTGCTCTGAGGTCATGGCATTCTGCATAGCGCTCCATATATCCCATTCCGAACGTTGGAGATATTCAATCCATTCAGAGCGCTGGTGCAATTTGGCCTCTCGTCCCTGCATTCTCTGGTGCGGTGTTAAACCATGTTGGGAATGTTGGGCAGGAGGGATCCAGTACATTGCAATGTTACACACCAAAGGAACATGTCCATGAAAGCCGGGGGACAGGAAAGGCGCTTGCCACAAATGCTGGACTTGTCTGGCCTTTCCATCTGCAAATTGCTGGCGTGTGCAAATGAAGTCAATCCGGCTTGCATGTTGTTGATGCACATAGGTTGGGCCATCGTGATCATTCCACGTGTTCAGAGCTACCAGTCCACCAGATCTTAGCACTTGCAGGAAACGTGCATGGTCTGAATGGCAGGTTCCATGGGTATGGAGCTGGTTCCAGTGAAATAAGGATGAGCCACATGTTCCCTGTGAGGCATGCAAACAGCAGTTAAAGTCTCCTAAAACTGCGACAGTGTTCCTAGATGGCAACAATTGTAAATGGCTTTCGAGGCACTGCCAAAATTGTTCCCGTCTGTGCAATTGCGCTGAATCCTGTCTGTACATATGTTGGTAGCATCCCAGTACATCTATGTTGCGGGTGGAGTTCATGATACGTACGTGGAGGATGCGTCCTGGAAGGACCTCATTCCAGCGTAAATCTGTTCCAGCGCAGAGAGTTTTGGCAACCAAGATCAATATCCCAGAGCCTTTGTGGTGTGGGTCTGCACTATGTACTTTGGAATGTCCAACGAGTCTCAGTCACTACTGCAATGTGCAGGTTTTGGAGGCTGAGCCATTGCTTCAACTCGTCCAGCCTATGGGAAGCTAATCCTCCCCCATTCCAGCAGAAACAGGCAAGGCGTTTCTTGGGTCGATTATGTTGATGGCATGCTGTCAGGTCAGTCTGTCGGGCAGCTGGGACATTCTGTTGAATGGGTGCCATGCCCATCTTCAAAAAGTCCTTTGGAGTCAGACATTGGCCCTTGTACCACGTCATGCCCAGGGCTTCTGCTCTTCGTTGTGCTCGGAATAGACTACGCTTGACCACTTGTGAGGCTTTCTGAGGTTTCAGCTGCATTGGTGCGCGTGCGCACTTGGGCGGCCGCGGTCCATGTTGCTTCACGTCAGGAAGGGTGTTCAGGATTGCAGTCCAACTCTGTGACGTTTCTGCATCCCCCATGGAAGGGATGCAACCCTCGCCCCAGCCCATGTCAGGAAAAGTGGTTGCCGAAAAGCCTGATGTCCAGGCGCAGCAGATCACTAAAATAATCGCAAACAATGGGCGCCTGGATTTGGGACCAGGCTTGCAGCTCTGAAAAACGGTTTTGCAGCAAACTCCCGATAAATCAATGGATCGGTGCAAAATGTTGTCACTGTGCCAAACAAAATATCTGTTTCAAAAGTCTTTGCTCCAATAAATGTGCCAATTGTGAAAAAGATGAAAATGCCAAATCCACTCAAGGGCCAATCGTTGTGCCAGCAGGAGGGAATCGCACACTTGTAAGCAGAGTGAGTCTGGTGTACTGTCCAAATCACCGTGCAAAAAATATTGAAGCTGTACCGCACAAATCAGTAATGAAAAAATCAGCAATTGCAAAATTGGAACAAGGTTCGACTCAGTCGCAGTGGCTTGCTCAATCGCAGTTGGTAAGACTGTTAATGCAATCTCACTGTTAGCGCTGGGTAGAGCGTCTGGATGAATTGCAGTGTCAGAATGGGCACACTGTTCCCAAGGACAAACAGTCCACACAGGTCGTGGTGTTGTGATGTACTGTGCAGCTGTATGTTCAGGAGTAATCTGTCTTGCACCTCCAGTGGAACAGTCAGTCTGGGAGTCCACCCCTGAATCTGTTGATTGTAAAATTAATTGAAAAGTCTGAGGCTGTCTGATTTGGACCACCACAAGGCCAGGCAGTTGTCGGGGGCCAAATCCGCAGGGTGTGGTGGTTCCAATTGCAATCCAATATGAGACAACTTCTCCGGCCCAAATTATATTGAAAATCCACTGCACTCCAAGCACTGTTTGCCAACCAAAATGTAAATGTCGAAAAAGGAATCCTAGTTCGTGCAGTGTTGGCTGAAATAGGGAGGCACCCCAGAGGCACAGAAACTGAGGAAACCTTCCGTGATCTAGCGAGGTCAAGTGTTGCAAATATGTTCTGTCAATATTGTGGCAAAAACTGTAGGGAAAAAAGTTGCACTGTGTCCAACCAAGGCCAGTCAGAAAACAGGAGCCCACCCTGCAGTACAGTGGGAACACAGGCAAGCCTGTCAGCCAGTGATCGGGCAAGACGTCAATAGAATCCCCCGAGACAGGCGTTGTCCAGTTTCCCTTGTCAGTGTGAGCAGGCAAAATTGATGTAAAACGCCAAGAAAATGTATTGTCAATCCTGTGCAGAAAAGGCTCAAAAAGGGAGCCACCCCAGAGGCACAGGTGTAGAGTCAGTCGAGCAAAGGTTGTCTGTCTGAAATAGCCAGGGTCCTGCCTGTCAATCAAAACAATGGACCAAAAGTCGTTGGTTGCAAGATCCCGCTGTGTCCTTCCAAGGCCAGTCAGTGAACAGGAGCCTACCCTGCAGTGTGGAAGGAACACAGGCTGTAATGTCTGCAACTGTCGTGCTTTCGTACTCAGAGTTAATCGCACTGAAAAATGGTCAGGCTGGAAGGCAGAATGAATTTTCAAGCTACCAGAAAAGGGCAACCTGAGAGCAATGTCAATCGTTGGCTGTCGGCACTGTTGCACCTTCCAAGCTTGGTCAGTCGATGAATGAGCTATTTCAACCCTATGGGCTGAAATGCAAAACAGTGCCAGGATATGCAGGGTCAATGCAACGACGGATGTCGTGGTGTCCCAAAAAGTCAGGGAGATCCCTGATCAATCCAATGAAATGCAAATTGAATAAAACAGTCAATGAGGTCACCGCGCAAAACGAAATGGCTCCAGCAGCACAGCAAGGAATTGAAATAAAAAATCGGCCCAGGGATTCGACGGTAAATCAGGCACCGCAGCGTCGCTAGTTGACGCACTTGGGAGCAGCACTCGAGGCTGCAAAGGGGCTTGTGTGTGTGTGTACGTGTGTGTGTGATTGTGTGATTGTGTGTGTTTGTGGTTGGTGAGACGCGGTTTGTGAGGTAGATGGAAGATTCAGACGGTACGGCGTGTGGTGCGCACATACATATAATACGATTAACTTATGTAACATTATATAACATGCAATGACAAGGCTGGCAGAGAAAAAAAAAAGGTTTCCAGCACGGCAAAACCCGCCTGCCGAAGCTCTGCTGAAGTAAGAAAGCCACAGTGCATCTTATCTGCACTGAGGCACCTTACAAAATGCCGAGAACACCATGTCTTCCACCAAATTCAAAACATATCAATCCTGTTATATATCTTTCCGCCCCTTGTGCATCCGGGGAGCAAAAAAAAACTATGGCAAGTTTCTGACCTCTCTGTGGGGTGCTCACAAGGACTTGGTGCAGTACTCAATTTGCAGCTCAAGTGTTCCTTTGTAGCTCAACTTTGTAGCCAAAGTGTTTGCCACCAGTGCCTCACAGCGAACCGAATTGTGGGGCAATTCAAGTCGGTTGCGAATGCAACAAGTCTTTGCCTCAATGATGGAGGTCCTGGGCTAAACTGCGGAAGGAAAACATGGGAAAACTACATGTCGATGCTGGAGAAGCCAGAGGGGAATCTTGAAAGTGAGACAGTTTATCTGTACAGTTGCTTTCAAAGTGAGAAACCCTACAATCTGCGCAAATCATCCCATATCTCAAAATGTCAAAATGAAGAAAAAATGAGAAAGCCATTTGTGCATTGAGATTCAGGATGAACGCAATTTGACGAGAGCTGTTCTAAAGTAAATAAAGTTCTAAGAACATGCAAGCCTTCGCAGATACTTAGAATATTCATAAAATGAAGTGACATCTCATGTCCGCTCAAAGCTGCACTTGTCCTGTAAAAGCGGCGCAAGTTCATTGCCTTGGAATGGAGCTAAAAACGCTAAAATAGGCCAGCGAATTCTCATGAATTCTGTATATCCTGTTACATAGGCCTTATCGCCTCTAGTTTCCAACTGCAGAATCATTTCAGGCCACAGAGGTGTTTTATCTGCAGCAGCATTCGATTGTGATGAATTATGATGAATCCCTAACAAAAAGGAGGCCTGCTTGATCTTCTCAAAAACCTTCTGTCAAATCCTGACTCTTTTCAGATCTTTTCGGATGAGTTGCAAAAGATGGCAACATTGGTCCGGAAGGCGAAGTGTCCGCCAACTTTTGAATCCATGGGTGTTGCAAGGCCTCGACAGTGCAGATTCAAACGGTCAGAATTGCGTTCTATTTCAAACATACCAGTATCAAATGTGCTCAAATCATGTCAAAATCATGTCCACATCCGTGTAGTGGGATCGACCCCAGACTATTCAGCCCAACAGGCAGAAGTGTTGCGGGCCTCGTCTATATTCAAACGCTGGCTGGGCATTCCACGTAGACACCTCTGAACGAAGTCCTTCAAGAAGGGGTGTCGATCAGGCTTGAGTAAGTGCACAGTCAAAATGTGCGCACATGCTTGAAACCCTTCCAAAAAAAAACAAAGGACTTTCAAGCGCAAATCGCCTTTGCTTCTTCAGTAATCTTGGACCAAAATGGTGGATCCTGGCCAGGCATCTCATAGATTTGAATTGTGCGGCGCTTGCAACACTTGCTTGCAAAGTTCTGAGAAGCGAAGGAGTCACTAAGCCGCTCAGCTCTGCACAAATGAGAAGTCAATCTTCTCAACTCTTGCGATAATTGCAGAGCGGCATGGTGCAAAGAAGGGTGGATACCTGGCAGAAAGAAATAGAGGGCAGCGAAACCGGCAAATGCTGAACAAGTCTCGCCGGTCATCACCCGCACAGAAGAAGGAATGCTATTGCACCCACCTTACATTTGGCAGCTACTTGTATCATCATCAAAGGCAGAAGACACGGTCTGCATCTAAATCAAACGCAGGAGAATCGCTAGAAACAAGTGAATTCTCTTGCACATATAGGTCCTCTCCATTTCTCCTCATCTCTTGGACTCTGGCACTCCAAACATCAGCTTGAGCAAGAAAGTCCATATGAAGGTCCTGCTACGGCGGACGACATGTTCACCAAAATGGACAACAAACTGGCAGTTTCGTTGGCTGTCGCTTGGGTCGCTCCTCACTTTGTGCCAAGTGCATGTCAATTGCCTGACAAGTAGAACTGACCAATAGGTCTAGTACCATTTGAGACTCTAGGTTTGGGTTCCACGCCTGGGAAAGCACTTGGAGGTCCAATGGGTCCCTCAGTTTAAAGTTTAAACTTTAAAACCCTTCAACATCTTTTAACAATCATGTCATAGCGTCCGTACCTAAGAAGTATAGATTTGAAAGGAATGCATCAAAGGGGCGAGTTCATTGACTTCGGTCCTGCAGCTTGTAGTGTGAAATGCATGAATATGTTAAAAAAAAGGACTGAATACATCTTTACATCACAAGTACAAAAGAAGTGATGAACCTGCATGCATTGCACAGTCGTGCACAGTCTGTCCTGACGTCAGATCTCGAAGCCCGGAAGGGACCGAGTCGGATCCGGGCACCGCGCCATTCACTCCCACCTTGATAGGAACTGGTCGGCATCACTGATGCAAAATGCACCAAGATATATAATATATATATATATATCATTCTAATTATAATACATATATATATATATATGTATGTATATATATATATATGTATATACTAAGATGCATCGGTCTGAATTCACATGTGAAGTCATATTGACAATGAAACATGTCTATAACACATTATCAACTGTTGCAGTGACACCTTTATGCGTTTGAAGACTTCCGGGGCGCAAAAGACCACCTTGCAGGCCTGCAATCACCCCGCACCATGATCTGGCTACTGTAACTCTTCTCTGCAAGTTCTTGAGATGCTCAAAAAGTGTTCAACGTTTCATAGATGTAGAGACTTCAAACACGGACCAAATCAATCTTCAAATAAACAAAGTCTTCAGCCTCAAAGAAATTGGAGCTGCTGCTCCGCGGCAAGTTCCGAGCAGTTGCCTTCGTGCTGCGTGAGTTACGTGAAAGAGGACAGTGACTGAGTAAAACCCTCTGCTGAACAGCCTTCGAGCGCCTTCATGCAGGAAGCACAGGAAAGACATGGAAGTGTTGGCTGGACAAATCAACGTAACGTGTTACAAAATAAGATAAAATAACATAACATAATAATAGCAATATGGCATTATAGAATTATTAATAATAGCAATATGATGTTATTGATAGTGTAATTATAATATAATTACAATGATTTATAATATATTCTACTTATAAATCAAACAGCCTGCAGGCACAGTGCTTGAGAGCATGACCTCGCTCGCAGCTAGAAGCTGATGATGATCAGAGTCTGGAGACCATTCACACAGACAGGCCTGTCACAGCGTCAGATATTCATTTTTTCAAACATATGCGAACATAAGAATCATATAAGAATCATTATCAATCATTATCAATCCAAATGTCAAGCCTGTTTGATAGACTAATAGACATCTAATAGACCTTGTTTTCTAATGTTTCCTATCTTGTTCTGCCAAGCAATTATGCACAGTGACATGGATTGAGGATGTTGTGGCCTTCAGTTCCAGCCCAAAATCCACCAGCTTCAGTGGAGAATGTGCTTGGTCACTGTAAAACCTCGCCAGGTGACATCAGGATGCTTTCAAGAATCATCTATCTGCATGTTATTTTTGATTCCTCACGCCTCACTCCAGCGTCTGGCTTTATGGTAAGAATGTTTCAAGTCATAAAATCGTGGCTGTTCTCATTTCCATTCCACGCCACTCAACATTTCTGCCAGGCAGCCGAAAGCTGTCTGGTGACAGATGTCCATGGTAGAGACCAGCTTGCTGCAGTGCTTGCACAGTCTGAGCGGCTTCACAAATGCAATTCGAACAATTTGCTCCTCACATGCCCAACTTTAAATTCAGTTTGTGCATTTTTTTAGCAAAAGAACTGACGGAAACTATACTATAGATGCTACCTCTACATCCACCGTCTAGCTATTATCATCTGTATCATTTATAATCGGTTGCTTCAACCATTCATACCATTTTCATTGAGGCTAATCCATGTGCCTGGATTGATGAGAACCTTACCCATCTTTGCTCTGCACTCCAGACGGTCAATGATATATTGTGAATGTAACAACTTAGTCCAGTCCAGGCCCAAGCAGGCCTCAAGCATGTGTCTCACAAGCATTGCTGATTCCTGCTCTGCAAAGAAGTGTCGCTGCAAGATTCGATCTTGCCTCAACGGGTAACTCACTCAGGATGGAAGGGAATACAAACGACGATTCCAGAGTGTCACAGTGCAACTCCAAAAAAGGTTTTAAGACTAAGCCCAGCCAAGCTTGGGTTCCAGCAGCGTCCCACCGTTGCAGTGCTCCATCACCTTCAACCAGCTTTCAATGAGCGATTGAGCGATGCAGGTCAGGAGCAAAAGTGTTGAAAAAGGTTCGCTTCGGAGTTGGACATGCACAATCGGGCACCAACTCAAGTCTGACAGGGCTCTGCACTGAAAGAGCTCTGCACTGCATTAGGGTTTCACTAAGGTGCTGGCAAGGGCCAATGATCTGGCATCTTCGTAAACCTCTAGAATCCTCCATTCGTCTTGGCTCAGTCCATTCTCCATTCTCCCAGCTCATGCTGTTTGAACTCAACGCGAATTCTTCCGAATCTGATGAATCCGGTTTCAGTGTTGGGAGTCCACCTACCAGTTGACTCTGATTGACTCTGACATCTCTGACTCGCTGCATCTTGGCCCAAAGGTCTCCTGGCAATTCCTTCACCTCTTTGGGCTTGAAGGCGTGCAACATGTGCCCTCCAGGCCCAAAAGCTTCCAAATCAGAATCTGCTCTCTCTCTCTCTCTCCCCCTCCCTCCCTCCCTCCCTTCTGTTGGAGGATACTAAGATGCTATTTCCCCGCCTGCCAGGTGAGGGTCTCTAGGTTTTATCAGAGCTGCTTCCGCCTCCCGCTTCTTCTCCTTCTCCTTCTTCTCCTTCTTCTCCTCCTCCGGCAGCCTCGGACTACGCCCCCAACTGGGAGCGCCAGATCTCAGTGGGCACTGCCGAACCTCAACCGCGAGCTCCAGATCTCAACGGGCACTGCCGAATCTGAACCGCTAGCTCCAGAGCTCAACGGGCACTGCCGGACCTCAACTGCGACCTCCAGATCTCAGGGGGCACTGCCGGACCTCAACTGCGACCTCCAGATCTCAGGGGGCACTGCCGGACCTCAGCCAGACGCCAGAGAGAATGTCAGATAGAATGCCAGAAATAATGTCAGAATAGCGAGAATAGATGCCAGATAAAATGCCAGAAAGAATGTCAGAGAGAATGTTAGAGCATATGCCAGAAAGAATGCCTGAAAAGATGCCAAATAGCATGTCAGAATAGATGCCAGAAAGAATGTCAGAATATCTGCCAGAAAGTATGTCAGAATAGATGCCAGATAGAATGTCGGATAGAATGTTAATGTCAAAGTATATTCCAGAAAGAATCTCAGATAGAATGTCAGAATAGAATAGAAAAGAATAGAATAGAATATGCATAGATATGCCACATATACTTCCAGATGGTATGTCAGAAACTATGTCAGAATATGTCGGAATAGTGTTTCAGGGTGGGGATCTCCCATGAACCAAGGCTTCAAGTTCCATTTCTTGTCGGAATGGCAGGTCTTAATCGATTTGATGCCGTGCCTCAGCCTCTCTTGGCAATCTTTGCCAACAGGCTTTCGGCAGGTTTGCAGCCTTTGTACCTCAAACTTAGAGCAACAGGTCAATGCAATGACTTCTAAAAGACCTTCTGATGTCAAAACATGTCGAAATACAATATAAATCAATATAATCAATATAATCAATGCACACGCACAAGGGCACGGTCCCTCTTTGACGATGTCTGACGAGCTGACAGAATGGGTCCTGCTGAAACTGGCATGCTACAAAACCAAACCAGGTAACCGGTAACCAGGGAATACGAATATAACATGAACAATCATGAACATATGAACTTAATATAACTGGTGAACTGACTGCCTTTGAAGTTGGCTCTTCAGCTTCAAAGTTCTTGTGGAAGGCCGACATGGACCTGGCGAGGCCACGGTATCCTCCGAAGCATGGCACAGAAATGGTCCGACAGTCCGACAGATTCGACAGTAACAGCGGTGTTATTTGAGGTCTGTGCTGAAAGTTACTCGTGTCACTTTTTGCAGTGGGTACATTTGCTTGTACCTCGGCCCATGTGCACGTCCAAGTATCTGCTAGCGACAAAGCAAGAAGGTCGAGGAACGGGGCTGTTGCATCTTGGATTCATGCAACTGCGTGGTCTTGACTTTCATGCCGTGCCAATAACCGTTCGCTTCAGACAAATGAAGGTCACATGAGTCACATCATTAGCTCACATCTGAGCACAAAATTGGGTTCCTTCGGGATTCTCTCGTGGGACCTGGTGGGACCCTCTGAGAAATTGACATAGCCAGAGCCTAAGAATACTCAGAGTGAATCAGAGTGAATGAAGAGCTGTTGCAACCGCGCCTGTCTTTGCCTCTTTGAAAGCATTGATTGTTCAAGGATTATATGTAAATTATACGATCAATATCTCATGAAGGTCTCGTTCGGTCAGAAGGAGCTTTTCACATACGTATAATAATATATAATAATTATCATTATATAATTTATAATTATCCGTGGCAGTCGTGTTGAGCCTTCAGTCAGAGAAGTGTCTCTGTGCGTGACTCAGCAGCTCGCTCTTGAGGTTGAGCTTTGCCAAGCCTTCGATGTCGCTGGATGCCACCAGCTGAAGCCTGGGACGATCTGCTCAACTTTGCGGAGTTCCCAAGGAAAGCATACGAAAGCGCCAGTAAAAAGATGCAATCGCTTTGAATTTGGCAACTTTCCAAGTCTCAGCTTGTTAACCGAGTGGTCTTTCTTGGTGCCGCACACGACATCACCACCAGGCGAGCAAAACTGAGCACCCATGTCTTATTACATATCGTCTTACAAGAGAGGCTTAAACAAATCATAAACTCCATGTCCAGTATGCACTTGTAAGTAAGTGTAAACATGATTACTCACGGAGGCACTGACTGTGGAACGATGAGAAGACACCTTGTGAAAAGAGTTTGTTAGATTTGGTCCATAGCCAGCCTTTTGCAGATTCCTCTTTGCAGCATTGAAAAGGCAGTATATATTGTCAAGTAAGAACAGAAACATTGACCTGTCGACCAAAGTAGGAGCTAGAGATGCATCAGCTTGCAGCTCAATGAACTTGAATTGGAAATTGAAGCAGCGCTGATGTAGAGTCTTAGAAGTACTAGCTTGCAAAAAGAGGCAGCCAACACTGTCTGAGTACTTCCATGACCTAAAGGGACTCGGTGACTTATCATGCATTCTGTGGCAACTTGTTGAATTTGTTTACACCTGGACAGTTTGGAGGAATATCAACTGGAACAAAGTGATTTGAAGTAACCATTAACCATCAATCAAATCAGCTCGGACAGAAACTGCCATCTTCTTTTCCTCACTGCACACAGCATCGCCTTTGGTGGCCTTGCAAGACTGAGCAACAAAGAATGTACTTCTCATGTCAACAAGCTCTGACAATCTTACAAAATCATCCAAGCTCCTTGCAATAAAAGAACGAATGTCATGAAGATGCTCGGCCTTTGGACAGAAGGCGATCAGTGATGGTCGGTTGCAAGTTGCAAAAGCTTGCCATTTTGTACCTCGGCGAACGTTTTCGGCACCATCTGGCACCAGGCACAATGGCAACCAAATCAACCAGAAGAATTGCTGGCAGTCCCAGATGGAGTGCAAAAAAGTGTCTGTCTGACTGCATCTATCCTCTCTGAGGTTTGGGCCGCTACTGAGTCACTACTGACCAAGTCGTTGTCCCTGACCTTCGAAGATTCTTGGGCCCTGAAAGGTCCGCGGAGGAGTGGACTGTGCCTGCGAGCCAGCAATAAGGTGCATGTGAATGTGTGCAATTTGGCAATGCCAAACTGGTGGCTTGAAATTCTTTGAAGCTTGCCTGCACTGCGCCTGTACTACGCCTGTATCACTTATATATCCAACGTCTAGCATGCAGTCTCACCTGAGGCCGTTGGCGGGGAGCGCCAAATGTACCTGATTTGCTGCGCAGGAAAAACTGACGACTGCAAACTCATGCAACTCTTCACATCTCTCAGCAAGCCTGTCGGTCCGGGTGCGTAAAGAGGCTCCTCCTCGCAGGGTGCATCAGTTGCAATCTCTCACTCAAGCCGGCAATGAATGGATTTAATCCAAATGCTGAATTTGGCTCGTACATGCTCACACTCCATGTATGGTAGCACCATGTAGCACTCTTAGAGGCTGTGGAAGCAACATGCGGCTTGAACTTTCAGATCCATTTCTCATGGTCAGAGCTGCGACTTTCCTCTCGACGCTTCACGTGGTCTCTATCTAATGTATGGCCACAACTGCATGCGCAATGCCTGAAGGTGACGCCAACCGTGAGTAGTGGCACGCGGCCGCTACTGCAAGACCAGTTCCTGCTAGTTTTTAACCAGCTAAGGTTCCGAAAAATATGTCCTTCATTGTCTTTCATTTCTTGTCATGATATTTATTTTGTTTACAAGTTTGTTTCAAATTGTTTCCTGGTTCAGGCGTCTGGCGCTCTAAAAGTGTCCCGACATCACGTCGCACCAATTCAGCCGCAGCAAGGAGCTTTTGCACCCTATCATCTTGCAGCTGATCGTGCTGATCGTATAATTGGAATCTTAGTGCTCCATCTTGGGCAAATTCGCTCGCAAAGAAAAGTAATCCATTCAGTCCTTCAATGTCCTTTCGTTCTCTTTGCATTCTGTTCCTCAAAGTGGTTTTGATGTTTTGGTTTCGGGCATCTGATCGCCAAGTGCCCTCGTTCTCCGCAATTGTGGCATGTCTTCCTATTTGTTCCCGTTTGCTTGCCAGAACCTTTCAAAGAATCACCTTTTTCAGCTTGAAATGTAGCATATTGATCAAGCACGGTATCAATGAGATCATTTGTGACCCGGATAGCCTCGTCCAGAGTCTGAGCATCTTGACTCTGCAGCAACACATGTAGCTGTTCATTTGACGAGCCTTCACCTGAACCTTGTCCGGCAAGGTTAACTGTTGCGCCCGTGATTTCTCGAATGTGTTTGACATTCTGGCCATTCTGGCCAATCAAGCGTCCATTGAGCCCGAAGGTGGGATCCGGATCTTCAATATCCAAGAAGATCTTGTGCGTGTGTAGGGATGGAGCATGCCCATGGTGCTTGCCTTGACCCTTTGCATTTTCGGGGCAGTCACGCTGGTAGTGCTCCCCGCCACATTGGTAGCATGAAACAGATCCTCGCTGTTCTCGCTTTCCTTTCCCATGCCCATGCTGCCAGTCTTCTTCGTGGCCTTTGCCCTTCCCTTTCGGAGATGCAGATTGCGCAGATTGCGCATGCCACACATCCCACTCGGAACTGCCTCTGCCAGCTTTGGTCTCAGGGCGCTTTCCTTTTCCACTGTGTCCACTGTTTTTGCCCTTTTCTGTCCTCTCCGGCCTCTCCGGCCTCTCTGGCCTCTCCGGCCTCTCCGGCCTCTCCGGCCTCTCCCAGTCATTTTTGTCCTTTCTCCAATCACTCCAATCACTCCAGTCTCCCTTCGCTCCCTTGTGGCTCTTCTCTCCTTTGCCAGTTCCTTCACCTTTGCCTTTGCTGGGCTGCCTTGGCTGCTGTTTTGGTAGAGGAACTGGTTGCCCTCGCTGTGGAGGTGGAACACTGGCTGCAGTGCCATGTCTTGGTGGAACCTGTTTTGGCGGGCAGCAACGGGCTCAACAGGCAAAGATAACATGATTTCACTTGATTGAAAGATATTGAAAGTAGCAACGGTCCGTTCTGTCTCGACATGTTGCAAACACGCAAAGTGCACCGAGTAGCGAACCCTACTATCATCAGCTTAATCAGACAATCGAACAACCCACTGCAAAGTCTCTCAACTCACTCAATCGATCAATCGCTCAATCGTTCACTCCAAAACATCTCACGCGATCAAAAATTTCATCATAATGTACTCGCGCTCATCCAAGAAAGAAGAAATAACAACTGAGAAAGAGCTGACACGAGGGAAAAAAAAAAGGCACCCTTGGGCAATGAAAAAACTCGCGGTGAAACTCGCGTGGATCGTAAGTTTGAGGAGAAATAAGAGCTCTTTATGCCAATTTGTTGAGTCCATAGGGGCAAGAGCCTGACAATAGCCTGACAATCGTGTTTTACCAGCGAAGAAACGCTATTATCCGAGAGAATTCAAAACCGTTCCTAGTTAGTTTGACCAATTGTGTGGCATGGTCTGCAACTATGCGGATAAGGAGTCCTCAGGGAGAAGAAGGAGGTGCGAGAAAAGGGTCAAACAAGAGAGTTTCCTGCGCTGTATTGTTCAACTAGATCATGCTACAAATCAATCATGTTCCGCCCTGCTGTTCAGACTTGATCTGTCATCCGCTTCATGCCACTGATCCAAGAATTCTGGTTCAGCTGACACGCGCAATGCTCGAAACAGTGTGGAGTACCCTCCTCTTGGTGAGCTAATTACTCAAAAGCATGCAGCCCCAACAGGGAACGTTGAGACTTTCCCATACTGGCTGGTCATGTGGAAAGATTGCTCTGTTGAGAACCTCTCGCTTGCTGGCTTGCGACAAAAAATGCTGCTACCAAGCAAGCTGCAAACCTTCAATCCCACAACCAAACCCATCAATCCCTTCATTATTGGGAAACAGTTTCGTGCAATTTAGTGATCTTCAAGTGAATGGCATTGATTCTTTGCTGTAGCGTACTCCATGTGGCGAGACGGGCTAGTTGCGCGAATAGGATCTTGATTTGAAACTTCCAAGATGCTACTACACAGTATAATATATATATTGTATATAATATAATTATCGAGAGAGAGAGAGAGAAAAAAAAAGAGAGGCTCCTGCAGCCTTCCAGCTTCTTCTGCTACAGTATAAGACACCCTGCAACTAGCAAAAGCATGCAAAAACAATGGATCTAGGTGGAGTGTGTGCCGAATGTGATCCTTACATCATGAGTCCATTAGAGCTTACGCAAAATCAAAAATCCCCGCATCACTTACGTGATATTCGAGACACCAAGGGCGAGGTCACTGTGCTGAGAATCATGTTGCTGTCTCCGTGACAGCATTAGTTACAAGATGTTACAAGTACAAAATATAACAGAATGTTGTCAGATTTTACAAGCTTAAAAGATGTTATAAGTTATAAGATGTTGTAAGTCTCATGATATCTCATGATATCTCATGATATCTCATGATATTACATATCCATATTATCCATGTTGGTTCCGGAATGTTCCACGGATTCTCAAGCCACACCAATTCGAGAAACTGTTCGAGCTGGAGCTGGAGGAGCCAAAGGCGAACGGCCAGAGCCAACGCCTGCAGCGGGCGCTGGAACCAGAACCGCTGCCGGGGCTGCTGGCGGAGGTGGCACACTTCCGCCACTTCTGCCCGCCAATGAAACAAGCTCGCGGGCAAATCTCAATGGGATTCCAAGATCTTGTAGTTCTTTTGCGCCAAGCGTCCTGAAAGAACTTAAGAAACTATAAGAAACTCAACTTTTGGAAACCTAGTAATTTGATGCAAATTGACTCCAAACATGCAATTTATGCAAAGTTTGAGATCTGGTGATCCGCTCCTGATGCTCTCAACGGTGTCAAACCAATTCTCCTGCACTGGCGGACTGTGGATACTGTGGTGGAAGCACAGGGAAATGGTCAAATATGGTCAAAATTGGTCAAATCATGCAAAATCACAAGAGGTGAAAAGATTGAAAGGACATGAAAATACATGAAAGGACGAACCCAAACATCTGGCGTTATTGGCGTTCTTATGCTGAGTCGACAGATTCAACTCCAATAAACTTGCTTGTGCTTTACCCTTTTAAACCCGTTGGTTGTGGTGGCAGCCTTGGCTGATTGTGTAGAGGCTCCTCCAACAGCTTCAAGAATGGTCGCACATCGTCAACGGACCGACCAACGGCCCTTGCGGCATCTGCAACCAATTCTTGCAAATGCCTTCGGCAAACTTCACATTCACAACAGTGACAATCAAGCTTTCACAAGCAACGTGTTGGCATGTGGTCTCAAGGTCATGCATGCAGGAAGTGCAGGGTGATGGCTGTTGTGAGAGTGAACGTTGTATATTTGAAAGACTGCGGCAAATCTACTGACAAAGATCATACAAGTCATGTAGAATGCTGGGGTTCAACGGCCTGGAAGCTGGCATGGCGAATGCCGTGCTAGTACTGTTCCTAACTCATCCAAACTAGAAGTAGCATGAAGTAGCTGGATCATACTGAATATTTCAAATGTGTGCTATGTTTCTTCTCAAGCATTTCAAACCTTTTCAAACTGACAGTTCCGTTTCAACATCTTTCGACAGCTCATTTAGTGATTGTGGGCTGCATTCACTCTGTCTAACTTTCGTGAAAACAGATTGACTATGGGATATGTTGTGCATACTTGCTGCATCTGCTGCACGTCCGAGCTTATTGGAATTAAAATAGCTGCAGTAGGGGGAAGAGCCACGTTGAGCAAAACATGGAAAAGACGTCGATGGAGAATTGCACACCAGGCAAATTATCAATGCTGAATGGAAAACTGATGAAAACTGCATCTTCGCGTTCCAATAGTTCCATGGTGTCCTCATCCCCATCTCCAAATAGGTTGCTGGGATAGGCTTTGAATGACCACCAAGACATTACTGCGCTCAGCAGCATGACTATGGGCAAGGCTACCAGCAGCCCTGACCTTCGCACGATCTGACCCGTCAATACTCGTCATAAACGTCATAAAAATACCAACGCATCATATCTCATCTCTATGCCCATGTCCCGTTCGGTGCTTCTCAACCGACATTGCATTCTCATGCATTTTCAACCAGAAACTACAAGGACAGGTGTTTCAGCAGCAGAATTGCAGCCGGGTTTCTGAATGTTGTATTTTGTCCTCAAGGGCACTAGCATTAGCAGCATGCAATTGTACAGATTCATGCAATTCATACACAACAATGCTTCTGCATTGGAAAGAAAATCATAGAAAAACCATTGCACTCTTGCAGGCAAATCTCCCTTGTCTGCTATCAAAGAATGGATGTACAGACACTTGTGTCTCATATACGATGTTTTCTTTGTCTCTGCTCTTGACAAGCGTTGATGTTGAACTTCTTCCGCCTAGGACCTTAGCAATATAGAGCAATATTTTAGAGCAATATTTATATAGCAATACTCCATTTGCAAAAATGCGCTGCTGCTTTGTCTCAATCTGCTGACATGTGTTCAGATCATTGCGAGTCTCAATAGCATGTTGAAGCTCAGCCACAGAAAATCTAAGCCAAGCGCACTGAAAAGTGTCAGTAGACCGAAAAGAGCTTCGAAGCCGGAAATAAGTCCAAAGACCAAGAGACAGTACAGCGACATGTTCGCACACCCATCCGCCACCATGTAGTACACGATAATCGACAGGATAATTGTGAAGAACATGCCAAAGCCATCCCCGGTCATTACTTGCAAAACAGCCATTGAGAGGAGCATGACGAAAATCATCCACCAAAAATACGAATGAAACCTTAGCTGGTTGGCCGTCATCCAAAAAAAACATAGGTATCTGGTGTGCTTGCCAGTGTCTGCTACAGTCCGTTCAGAACACTCCTACCTGGACATACCTCGAGGTTGTAACCCCAGCTTTCTTCCTTCCTCTTGGAACAACCGTATTATGGCAAATCTTATTGCATATATAATATCTTATCATATATGCATAAATCTTGTATGCCAAAAATAGGGCGCGCCAAACCCTGCTGAAATTCTGCGGACAAGAATCTCTTTGACAACAGCAGGCGGCGGAGCATCTTGAGGGGAAGCGCCAACAGCCGGGAATACCATTGTTGACGCAGCAGAGACCTCTGAAAGCGACCAGGGCGGGGTCAATGACCAACACAAACAAGACACAAAGCGTCTGCAACACCAGGGGTGAAACCTGCTGACTTATGATGATTTCTCGCATCACTCCGACAGCTCTTGACGTTGAAACAAAGTGCAAGGCTTAAGGCCAACTTATAAGGCTTAAGTTGATTCTTCAGTCGGGCCGCGTTCGGCGAGTTTAGACTGTTTAGACCACTCTTTGCAGCCACGTTGCTGTACAAGGACGTCTCTATTTACGATATCGAGTAGGGCGGCATCATAAATGCCGGTCTTTTGAACCAAACGGCAAGCACCACGATCCAAGCGCAGACAGCAAATAGTCTTTGCTCCTCTTGATGACTTGGTGCTTCTGGAAAGGACTCACTTCACCAGAAGGCACCTAGCCTAGCGTTTTGGCATCTTGGCACAACCATTTCTGATCTCTTCCAGTGAAAAAAATGGATTTTGTCGGTTTTGGCTCTTTGAATTAGATGTTGGAAGAATCGTTGCTCATTTCGCAGCTCTCTTGGCAATCAGTTGTGGCTAGTACTTGCTTGTTCCGAGTCAAGCGGCACGCACTTTGACGTCCAACTGTCACGCTTGTGCCCGAGAGCTGGCTCTTTTTTGCCACAATGCATCTAAATAATTCTATATAAATATATCATAATATATCTAAATCATCAGAATCTAAGACAACATCTAGAGGTGTTGCGGCGCTACTCGATTCACCGAGGGATCAGACTCTGTGCGAGCACATGGCAGCAAGTTCTTGAACTTTCCAAGCGCGAACCTGTGGTCCAAAGACTCAAGTCAGCCCTCTATCTATGGAGTTCTATGACCACGGACCACTGTTGTCCTGCCAACATACCAAAGATTACCAAAGCTCCAGCTTGAGCACGCGTGACTGAAAAAACCTGAAAATAAGTTCTGAAATGGAAACAAAAGGATACAAAAAGGAAGGATTCAACTGATCAAACAAACCTGAACAGGCATGAACTGGCCTAAACAGAATACATGTTCGTCATGTTCGTAGCTCCAAACCTCGGATCAAGTTCAGCATCCACCAAGGCTCCAGGCCGTGACAAGGTGTGCAATCTTCAAGCTCTGCAAGCGCACTTGGACATCTTGGACACACTTTAGTCAGACTTTGCCACCTCATCTCGTTCTCTGCAGTTTGGACGTTGAAGTGTTCTCTACAATCAGGGCAATGAAACATAATCAAACGATACGATAAAAGGATTGAAGCGAAGCAGGAACTTGTGCCGTGCGAAAATATCACATGTATTTTGTGCTGGACGGAACTCACAACAATAAAAAATGGGCTGGAAAGGTTTTGCAATGTCTATTTTGCTATTTCCGGCACCAAAAAACAATGTTTGCAGAAAGACACAAAAAACACATGAAAAAAACAAACAAAAAACATTCTAGAAAAATCTCGCTTCTCGGAAGAAACATGTTGTTGCTTGGCGTTTTGAGTTTTGAAAACGACATAGGGATAGGGATAGAAAGAGAGAGAGAGAGAGACTTGGACAAGCAAATCTGCCAAGTTACATTTGCTTCCGTCACCGCAAGTCTTTGGGATTGGTATTTCCTCGTCTTTGATTCCTTGGATTGTCAGCCAATGTCAGCCACTTCATTCGGCAGCAGGCAAAGTCATGTTGCTTCATTCTTGCTTCCCACATCGAAGGCGGTGTCTTGCTGCGTGTAATGCGTGTTAATGAGTGTTACATATCTACATCAAATTGTTTCTAGATCTCGGTAGGAGCCTCTGCTGGTGCTGCCAAAAGGCAGCTAGTCAGCTGATACAGTAAGAGCTATTCATAAATTCGGTGTTCAGAAAATGCAAGAAACAGCACATACCAAACAAAACAATTGGCACACACTCACACCAACACCTGAACCTTGCCGGATTTTTGAAAGGAGCACCTCATGTCCACTACTCAAGTTCTTAAGTATAGTCTGTGCAGTCGAATAATCAAATCAAACCCAATTATACAAAGTAAGAGTCAACTTTGCTCCAACCCACCTAAAAAATCCTCAAAGAACATTCAAATGTCCAAGATTGTCGAACAAAACCTTGAGTTTCAGTAAGGATTTGTAGAATGTTGTAAATCTACGTGTGTAAATCTCAAAGATGGAATGAGGCCAGGGTGCAGTCCGTCTCTTCGCGCGCAACGCATCTGAGCAGGATTGCGTGAACATGTATATTGCAGCAATGGCATGGTGTTGCATTGCTTTGGCCTTTTCCACGGATCTTTTTCGACCATTTTGGGGAGGTTACATCTCTCGTTGCTTTTCAATTTTCTTCATCAGAATGCCTCCCTCTTTGCCATCTGCGGGTCAAATCAGCAAGTTCGGAAGCAGCCTGGAAGGAAAGAGGACAAAGTGATGCCATCGAGCCCTGCATAAACTCTCAAAGCACATGCTTTACACATCTTGCATCTCACAAATCACCTTTAAGCAATTCACCGCACAAGCAGTCCCTGCCTTTTAAGCATCTGGACCACAAGCGCCTTGTGATCAAATACTCCAAATATCTCCAAATATTTCCGAAATTGTCAATACCCAATCAAATCTAAAGAAAGACCAAATCGCCCTCCACAGCAAATTGAACAAAAAGGTTCGAGTCGACCTGCGCAAGCAAAACAGCCCAGCGCAGGCACTGGCCAGAATAAGTCCTGATCTTGAAAAGTTGCAGACACTTCAAAACAGTAGACTTCCAAAACTTCTGCAGCATTCGGGTTCACGCAACATTCTTTTTGATGTTTTGGTGCAATTGTCCTGCAGTAGTTCTGAGCACCCAGATCTCAGTCTCTGGTTGCAGGAAGACCTCAGTTTGTGTTGATTGCACGAAACAAAACGGAGCATGTCCTGCTGATGTTACCTCTGAAAGTTCCGCGGCTGCAGGAAAGGCTCTACCTCGCTGAGTCCAGATTTGTGCATCGTCTAGATTCTTGCGACAGCATGTCGAAGCATGTTGAAACTTGCAACGCAACAAGCACATCAGTCAGCCTGAATTCTGGAGACTGCGTACTGGCAACAACCTTTTCATCATTCAGTTGCTGAACCCAGATCATGACTATATGACTACATCGATTGTCTGTCTGACTTGCATAATTCTGCAATTACATGCTCAAAGATGTTCAAAGCATTTTTGGAAAAACAACATCTGAAGGATGGACTCGAGAGCTTCACCCGTCATTGGCTGTCCTGCAATTCAAGTGAAAACGAACTCTGATCTCGAGAGACAACACTCCCCGAAGACATGACGGCACCGCTAATTTGCACCAAGGTAGAAGATGAATTTGGTAAGGTAGCAACACGACGGTCTGGTTTTCCTGCGCCAGGAGTAACAAATGGTCCCCGTAGATTTGGATCTGCCAAGATGCAATCTTCTCAATCCTGTGTGGCCCTGATATCTGCATAGATGTGCTGGCGTGTCATTCTATCTATCATCGATATATCCAGTTTTGCATCGAAATCTGCACGCATCCGATGAATCGACAGACAAATGTATGGCTCCAGTGAACGGCTCCAAGGGCTTGTTCTCATTCGATTCGCTTCCCCCCGGTGTTGCCCTCTCTGTCCTTCAAGTTCTACATGACTGCCTCGCAGGTTCTTCTTCCTAAGTTCTAAGCGGAAGGTCAAAACGAATCCAGCAAGAGATTGCAAGAGGAATCCGGAGAAGTGTGCAGAGATGCAGAGAATTGCAGAGATGCGCAGAGTTGCTCTGACTTCTTATGACTTCCTATGACTTCCTTGACTTGTTTCATCTTGTTTCATCTTGTTTCATCTTGTTTCCCGGTCTGGGTTTCGAACTGTGGATGTGGTAGGGCTGGTGGGATCTTGCAGCTGGAGTTTGTCAAGCCAAGACGCTTGCCATCTATGTCGAAGAGAAGTTCCTGGCAGTTCTGATGTCGGCCACTTGCGTGGACAGATACCGCCTGTTTTATGTCTTAAACGCATGGTGGCATCAGTCACCAGATCTCAGCTCTCAAGGATTCAGAACCAGTCCCATTACAAAACATATCAACAAATCAGACAAAATAAAGGAAGCACCTGATTGATCATCCAGGAAGCTCCCAGAACAACATGCGACCCGTCTGGCAGAACCTGAGCTCGAAGAGGCTCCTTCTGATGTGCCTTCTTCATGGTCCAATCTGTCTACCACTATCTACCACTGGTCAGTGCTTATGGATATGAGGCCCAGACTTCAGTTGGTCTAAAGGTGTAGCAAAGCCTTTACCCAGTGAAAAACGGAGAAAAATGGAAAAAATGGAAAAACCATCAGAGCTTCCGCAGCCGTCAGGGACGGTGAGGTCAGTGTGCTGCTCTACACCCATCTCTGAGCCATGCTGGGTTTCGGGGAAGCTTCGGGAAAGCTTCACGGCTTCATACGGCTTCATACGGCTTCATACGGCTTCACTCCGAATGCCTAAAGCCATCTTGACGAAGAAGATATTGGCTTGGCATCCACTGGACCTGGGATGCAAACTCTCATTGATCCAAATTTGTTTAAGATTGAACAGGCTCTTACAGGCAGATAAATCAGATAAACAGTTAATGTTATAAGATGTTATAAGTAAGTCCCAAGTTGTAAAATGTAAAATAATGTTAACTATAAATATGTTAAATTAAAAAAAAAAACATCACAAACTGCCTCTTTCTCTTGAGTATTTGCGCTGCGTGCCTCCACTCCTTGCAATTGCCAAGCCAGCACTGGAAATTTCTGAAGACCTGCAGGCTCTGATGTTCTAAGTTGTCTTTGACAATTTTTAACTTGTCTTCTCATGTAAATTTCTCGTTTAATATGTGTTTAATTTGAGGGTGTGATACAACTAAAGATGCCAAAGTCTTGCGCACAAAAGAGTTAGCGGCTGGAGGCGTACGGCCTTGCCCACGCCAGCAACTTCTGCTTGCCTCTGAATCAAGACCATCAGGAATGACGCTAAGGACAGCATAGGCACGTGAGTCAAATGAGGTTTCGTGGCATTTTATAGGCCTCGTCACCACTTGAGCTCGGTGGCTGTCCACAGCGATTCTTTTTGCAATGCTCCTGGGACAAAGGACTACAACGACTCCAAGGACAATAGTTTTGGAACTTGATCACTCACGACTCGTGATCTTTCTTGTCCGAAGCCTTAAGCTGACATGGTATTCTCCTCAATGGCTTTCCGCACCAACTTTTCGGCCTTGTCAGTCTACTGTAATCCTTTACATCCTTCTTCACGGCGGTTCTGTTGCGAGTCTTCTCAACAGGCAGGGTGCTTTGCAATGGACTCGGGTGCTGACTAGCGCCGGCAAATATGTCAGCGTGGACGCTGAATCCAATTGAGCTTTTCCCAGCCTTCTGTCCAGCTTCCAACATGAGTTTCTTTGAAAAGAATCTGCTTAAAATTGTCTGAATCTATGTGAATGTGCTCTTGGAACAACGCTTACAGCCTTGTTTCCACTGTTTTTCCATTGACCTTCATGCCCTCGACCTGCCCAAGTTGCGAATTTGCTGCATCCAAACAGCTGGCATAGAGGTTTTCAGCAGCCATTGCCTTGATGCTATATTTGCCCTGTGGACTTACTTCTAGCGGTACCTTAGTTTTAACATGATTTATGTAACTAGAACTGATGTCCACCTCGCCAGAACAGCTGACTTAGTTGTCACCGCAACGCTCTCTGTGTGCAAAGGTGTCCGGTGACAAGTGGCTTGGATTCTGGTCACTTTGTCAGAGCGTTTCTTCCCAAACATCAGGAATCCACCTCTGGCAATTTTGCATTGCTGTGAAGTGGCAGCAAGTTGAAGTGGACAAGCAAAAAGGAGCAAACGAATCGACTGTGGGAAATGGATCACGCATGATCACGCGCCAGTTTTCACAGCAAGAAACAATCGAGAAATAATACAGAAACCCCAAAAACGTGTACAAAGAAGTTGGAATGGGGGTCTGGCTCAAAATGTTGTACCAATGCGCCCAAAAAATTGAGCGTTTTACCATTCAACGTTGGGTCATCATGCTGGGGGGAGGAAATTTTGGGGGCCACCGAACCGGGAACCGGGAACATGTATGCCCTATGGGTGTTTGTGGATAAGCAGATGTTGCTTACACTGATATTTGACAATACAGCCATATGGATTCTCTATACAGCGGGCAGCGGGCAGATATGCACAAATTGAACGGAAAAAAACCTGCCATGGACATTTCCAGAGATTGATGGAAAACAAACAAATAAAGCTGTATGCCACGCAGGTTTTTCTACCATTTCCTTGGAGAAAGCATGAGAAAATAACCGAATGACCATTGAATTCTTGAACTGACATTCTCGGATATATATATATATATATCTGGACCATTCTGGACCAGTACCCACTGCAGCAAAGAATATGGCTGCCAGGTGTGTTCACTATGTCGTGGGCGTCTCCAGGCCATGTTCTACCATACAATTCATGTGTCCCATGGCACAGGTCTCCCAAGTGCAGCCTCTGTCTCTCAAGCATAGAATGAAAGCCTAAGAAGTTGGCCACCGTTTCCAAACAATTTCTGATGCAACATCTTCAACTTGAACTGCTCAACAAAGCCTGATCTGCCACTGTCCCTTTGCAAAATGCTTTGATTGAGTTCCGGTCACGACGGTCACGGCTTCTGTGGTCCTGCTAAAAAGTGAAGTGGCTGTGAAGTGGCTGTGAAGTGGCTGTGAAGTGGCTGTGAAGTGGCTGTGAAGTGGCTGTGAAGTGGCTGTGAAGCTGGCCGAAGGAAGATACAAGTGGAGGATCTCAATGTCAGTTTGGGTATTTCCCGGTCATTGGCCAATTCTTTTGTCGTTTGACTCTCCTCGTCACTTTCAAGGGTTTGATTTCATTGTTTTCTGCGTGCCACTGCAATAACGATATTCCAAACGAAAAAGGAACAGGGTTGAATCTGTTTAGGTTCCTGTCAATGACTGTATTCGCTTCTTATCTTGAATTAACATTTCCTCAACCTAAAACCTAAATGCACTGAATGCACAGAATGCACATATGCCTCATGTGAAAGGTCCACTTCGCTGCCCCAGTGCTCCGTCCTGCTTCGTCATGTGCCACATCAACGTCGGCCGGACTTCGGAGCCTCTACTCATTGCTCATAGCACTGGTAGCCACTGATAGGACTTGTCACTTTCACATGGCATCTGCATGTGTGCTGCCATGCGCTGTTCTGTCAAGTGGCCAGGCGCCAACCCAAGAATTCCATTTTGTTGTTGCGAGGCAAAAAACCCTGTCTCCTCTCCATCTCAACACGAGACCAGGGGAAAGGAACTGTGGTCTGTGCATGTCTCGATGTCTTCAGTCGCGTGCGCGAAATGTCCTTGAAACTACACCCAACGGTGGTCTGGACCGCAGGGCTTCCACCTGAAATCCGAGTTCCTTTGACCTCATTTGCACACACACACACACGCATATATATATAATTATACATATATATATATAAACATATATATATATGTATATATATATATGTATATATATATATACCTGAGAAGAACCAAAACGAAAGGCAGTGCCCTTTTTGGACCGCATGTGGGTAAGCCGAGGTGAGGAGCTGCTAGTCTCGTTGGCGCCTGGCAGAACCGGAGTTATGGATTGGTTTGGCAAGATGTATCTGGATGAGGGAGAAAAGATACATATTTAGTGAGTTAAACATGTATATTATATATGAGGAATGAAGCAAATGTCACTGGAAATAATCAGCATGTATAAACCCATATTTCACCCTACCAATGACCATTGTTGGCCACAGTAAGGCAAGATGAGATATGCACAATCTCTGGACATTGATAGTATTGGGGATGTACATTTGGGATCTGTTCAGAGATGAGTATTTTCAAGACTGTTTAGAACTTGCGCGAATGACAAAGATCAATATGTTCCCAGAGCTGTTTCATACGGAACCATGTTGAATCAGCGTCATAGTACCATTTTCCGCCTGAAAAATTTTTCCCGAAACGGAAGCCTTGGTCAGTCACTATTCAGTATTGGTACCATTGATTGTACACAAATCGATGTTCCTGCCACATGCATTTCTCTTCATTGGGTTCTCACCCCGAATGATAGCCGAGGTCGCAGAGCCTGTACCAAGAGCTATGTTTGCTTCACGCAGCGCCAGGTACTGTGAGCAGACCTGCCGTCAGTGGCGAGACTTGTGTATAACTGTGGGTTTGACATCTCGACTGGCTACAACTATCATGGCCAATGTTGATGTTTGGTATCGGATAGAAGGAAAATGGTTTAACAACAGGTATTGATAAGAGAATTGGAGGTATGTAACGACGAAGACACAAGGCTCGTGGCAGCGGTGGACATTTGTTTCAGGCAGCGTCACGACGATGTTTGTAGTCGCTCAACGTCGGGCTCGACGCACAAGCTTTGGTGCTGGTCGAGCAGGTTGATGGGAAGCTAGCAGCGGGAGAGTGACCGTATCACGTAGATACTGCAGATTGTATCCTCGCAGGATATTGTCGAGCTGCTGAAGAGTCGTATGTTCCTTTGTGCGGAACATGTTGTAAGCAGAACGTAAATGTTCTGGCCTGGGCTTGTTCAGAGCAGTAAAGTCAGGGAGACGCAGGAGAAGGACGTCGTCTATGTTTTGGACCCGGCTGAGCAAAACGAAGCAAGCGATCCAGTAGTCATCCTTGGCGTTTAAGGGGTGTTAGATTGATGCCAAAGAGAGCTAGAAATTAAGGCAGCACAGTGGGAATAGTGACAAACAGTTTGCGGATAGAAAACGACGAGGCACTAATTTCATTTGTGGAGGTCTTGCGAGATCCAGAATGATAGCAGGTAGGGTTTGTCCTTGGAGTGTGTAATGGGTGAGTGCAAAGAGGTTGGTGGCGGGTATTTGGCATCGATGCAGTTGTAGGAAGGCTTTATTGTCTGCGTCCAGAAGTGTGTGATCCACGTGGGCATCCCGAGGGTAGAATCGCCATGGTTGGGTTGTCGGCGTCAACAAGAAACGTCCGGCTCCGAGTGCAGCATGTTTCACCCAAGTAGCATTAGGAACGCGCAGGAGCAATGCTTGTGGCAAATACAATAAAGGATGTGGAGGCAATGTCGGGTCGCGAGGAAACGACCTTAGTTGCGATGAGGAGACATGGAGAAAGGCGAATAAGGAAACGATGTTTCAAGCTGAAAAGTGGCAAGCGACGGCTCAGTGTCTGCCAATACGATGTCGTCGACGATGACAGTGCAGCCACGAACGACGCCGAGTTCTGGACAGAGTTTGGTCTCAAGGCAAAGTTGAACACCAGGATATAATGCAAGAAAACCAGGTAGATTTGCAGTTGCAGATAGAGTGTGTACTGCGGCTGCCTCCTGTGCCAGTGTCGGATCCAGTGTCACGTTGCGGTTCCCGAAAGAGCTGCGATCTGCAGCGACAGCTAAGACAAGCCGGTGCCCGGCGGATTGAGCGGCTTGCTGGGCTCTTTGCATGGTCTTGCAAACACGGATTGTATGCCGCATGACACCGACTGTGCAGGTGCTGGGGTGGAATTTGGGTTGGAACATGCGAGCATCTGCAGTTTGAAGGAGTCGATGGTGTAAATGTTGGCAGGACTCGTGGGAGATGCCTTGATCGGAAAGTAAATCCTGTAGAAGTTGTTGCAGTGGACCTCTGCAGCGATGGCTTTCCTCGAGTATCAGGACTGCGGAAATAGATCGCCAAAGGGCTGCGCCTGCGGCAGCGTGCATCAAGGAGGGCGAAGAGGCTGAGGTTGGTGTTGATGCGTCTGGTTGAGTGGCACGTGGTGGGTTGATCAGGCAGGAAGCACCGATTGGAGGAAGTTGGTGAAAGTCACCATCTAATCGCAGAGCAAGACCTCCCCATGGAGTAGTATGTAAATTGAATATTTGGCGACAGCGCAGATCGATGAATGCTAGGATTTCGTTGGAGATCATGGACACCTCGTCGATGAAAAATGTTGTGACTTTGTGCCAGAGGCGAATCAATGCATCTTTCTGGGAACCAAGGGAAGAAATTGCTGATGCCGAAGCAGTGCTGAAATCAAAAGGTAAGGCCAAAGCGGCGTGCAGAGTTTGTCCTGCGACTAGACGTGCGGCCCGATGAGTGAAAGCAGCCTGCAGGGTGGAAGAAGGCAGAAAGAAGTGCAAGAGGTCGGCGGTGCAGTTGGTGATGAAAGTTTTGCCAGTTCCTGGCCCGCCGAGAAGCAACGATGCCTGAAATGGTGGAAGGGCAGTAGTAAACCCCCAAGCACGATTCAGTGTGGCTTGCAGCCAGGCTCCAACCAAGAGCAAGTAGGCGGCTTGTTTCAAGTTGATGGCGCCAACGGAGTTGGAGCATCGGCCGTCTTGGATCCATGCGGTGATGCGATCGAAAACAGTTGTTTCTGTTTTTGGGAAAGGAGGCTGAGGGAAATTGCTGCCCGCAGGATGCGATTGCGAGGGTGGTGGAGTAGGCAATGCTGGGTCCCACGTTTTCTCATCGCGTTGCAGTTGATGCAGTGAAAGATGAGATGGAAAAGGCCAGCCATGATAAACGTCGGCAGGATCACATGGTGAGTAAGATTGCGTGCCCACAATTGCGTCATCGAGTATGCGGAAGAGAATGACGAAGCTTGCGGAGGCTGGTGGAAGAGGCCATAATTCGGAACGGGACAGTGGCAGTAGAATGTCCCACGTTGCTGCAAATGATGGTGAAGTTCGAATTGAAGCTGAAGCTGAGGCCTAGCGTAAAAGTTGCGATGGGATAGGTGCCACAGTCGTGGATATGTTATATGAATCCCCCGTTGAATTAAGTCAAAGGGTTGTTGTCAGCAATTTTATAGTGATCAACCTAGAGACGTTGACCTCCTCAAACTTATAGATATTGCATGAGGGGGATTTATATTATATAATTCCGGGGTTAGGGAAAAGGAGCGGAAGGTAGAAGCTTGAAAAGGAATAGGCTCCGGAACGCTATTTGGGATGTCTTTCCAAGAAGTATGGAAGGGAAATTGTTCCCATAGTTGACAGGAAGCAAAGTGATTCCTTTAAGGCGCCTCATCGGGAAAATCGTGTGGATCCAGGTCGCCGTAGTCTATGTCGTAGGTTTGATCGCAGCTGACGTCAGAGTCGGAATCAAGTTGCCCAGGAGGTGGACCATGTTCCACGGTTGTGGTGTCGGGGACGCCGTGCAATTCATCAGGATTGCAACGGAGTTCGCGATCAGCAGTTGTGGGGTCAGAGAGCCCCATGTTGTCGATGTGGTTGATGATATGCAGTGTACGTTGTGCCCAATATTCAGCACTCAAGGGGGAAGCACGTGTAGAAGGTGATGGTAGTGAAGCAAGGAGACCAGCAAACCAAGTGTCAAAGGCTTCGGACCAGCTGGCGCAGCCGACAGAGCTGGGAAGCAATTGGTGGAGATCAACCCAAGGCTTGAACAGAAGCAAAAGTAAGAGACCGCGTTTGTTGGCATCTTCTGTAACCGGTGGAATTCGCGGTCCCATCAAATGTGGTATTTTCCAGGCAGTTGCTGTCAAGACTTGCTGTCGAAGCGAAGTTGCGCGTGGATGCTGCGGTAGGAAGGGAATGTTTCCGGGAGTTTTGAATGTTGTTTTGGATGTCGGAATGCGTGTGACACCAGCTGCGTAGAAGTAGAGGGGCCAACCTTGTAGATCGTCGCCGCGAAAAGGATAATCATCACTGGAGGGAGTATAGAACTGAGGCTGTCTGAAGTGGTTGTTGGTGTCAGAGCAAGCTTGAATGCTTTCTTCAGGGAAGATGAGAACTGAAGATGGCGTTGCGGCTTCGACGGAAGCGAGGTGTGAGCCATCAAACGGTTCGGAGCTCTCGAGTCGAGCAGCCAGATGGTAGAAGTAGAGTTTGTGGAAGGAATGTGTAGAATAAGCCTCTGGGTAGCCCAACAGGTAAGAAATCATTTCTTGGACTGACTTGTGTATACGCCGTTGGCAGGACATCAGCAATTTGGACAGGGTTGAGCGTGCTCGAGCTTTGTGGTCCATGCCTGCATGAGCTGCGCCGAGGTCTTGCTGCAGTTTGTGTGTTGCGGTATGAAGTAAGGTCCACAAGGAAGCCAGGTGGGGTTGTGTCTTTGTAGTGTAGCAACTGACATAAAACACCAAGGTGGACATGTTCTGAGCCATCCGTCGGCGAATCAATGCAGCAGGATTGGGTGATTGGAGGTAGTCGGCTGGAAAACGTAGAAGGGTGGAGATGTCATGGTTGCATTTGCAAGTAGCCAGTATGATAGGGTTCATGCGACCGAAGAACTGATGGTGCCGTTCTGTTTGAAATGCGTCGATGTGAGGTGGCTTGGTTCCAAGCAGAGGCTTGGGGCAAAGCTCAATACCGTGACAACGTTCCCAGACATGAAAGCCAAGAGGTAGCCAATGCCAGAAAGATAGCCTACAATAGCCTCTCTTTCCAATTTTGCCCTTGTAACACGTCTTTGGTTGGCAGCAGTGAAGAAGACCGCTGTAAAGCACAGAAGCACGTAGATCGTAGAGGAGCATGGATGCAGTGTCTGTGTGCAGTGGGGCGATTGTGGTTGCAAGGTAGTCCAAGCACCAGGGACAAAAGGCTTTTGCACAGGCATGTCGAGAGCAAATGGGCAGTCGATGAAATCATGGGCATACAGGAAATTGTTGGGGTCAGCCGCAAACCAATGATCGCTGGCAGCGACGAGGTGTGGCCGGTAGTGTGGATGCATGAGCTTCATCTGTGCATCGGAATATGGCAAGGGCCGTAAGTTTTCCAACGTTGAGCGTGGCAAGTCAAACATAGGGGGGATGGCTTCGAAGGATGTGACGACGATGGAGTTGATCCATGCCCAAAGTCGCTCTTCTAGAAGAGGGAGTTGCGCAGCAAAGTTTTGCACTAAGACATGGGGGTCCTGGAAGCCGTAACAGAACAAGAGGAAATGAATATGTAGGCTGCCTCTTTGCTGTGGTTCGATTACACCAAAAGCTGCGCTAAGTGGACCGAAGATGCCTTGCCCGTCAATGGAAGCAATGCCATCTGTTGGAAGCTGCTGGGCGGATGGAACCACTTTCAATAACGTGGAGAGGAAAGTGTTGACATGTAGATGGAAAGCTTCGACTGCTGCCGTCGGATCAAGCGCGACCATTCGCCACAGATTGGCGTCACGGAGGGCACACAAAAGATGCTGATCAAGTTGCACCTGTGGTAATGGTGTGGTAGGTGTTGTCAAACCACGTCGCCAGGTAAAGGGATGCAAGACGTCAGCAGGATTGAACGTAACAAATAGTGAAGGACAACCAAAATAAGTGATGAGAGAAGTCAGTTCACCACGCATCATGCGTCGAGCTGCGTCCGTGCAGGGAATTTGTCCTTGCACTGCTTGCAAGCACCGAAGGATGGCTTTCATGGCATTTGGAATGTCATGAGAGCGCAATGCATCAGGGATGGAGCCATGCCTGAGCAGACAAAGGAGTTGTTCGGTAGCATGACAAGTTGTAGATGGTAGAAAGTCGAAGAAGGCAGATAGCAAGTGAAAGGAAGGAATGAGGAATTATATTGATCATGTATGTATGTAAAGATTGTAAAGGGAGTAAAGGTAGTGAATATGGAGGGAAAAATGGATGCTAGTGAAAACCATTGCTGCAGAGAAGGTACTCTCCGACAGTGCTTGCTACTTGCGTCCAGTCAGTAGCTTGAAGGTTGACAAAGGAAGGGAGTTGCTCTCGGAAATGTGGGGCTTGGACTCGTATGCGAACTGCGCGAAGGAGACGGCGTCTATGCAGCACAGAAAAGAGAACAGAAATGAAATCCAAATCTTTTCTCGGATGAAGCTGAAGGGGCCGATCACGTCGTAGGAGCAAAAGTTTTCCCCAGTCATGATCAGAGAGATATGTTCGACGTGGTTGGCCATCAATACCATCTCCGTATGGGAATTGCAGTGGGAAACATGCCGTCCAGAAGAAAGGGTCGTAACTGTTAAGCGGTTCGTCGGCATGGGGGACAACGACATAGAGCTTTTCTTTGCTTTGGGCGGGCCGGGTCTGATGGATGAGATCCTGTTCGAAAGAGCGATGGTTGCTGCTGGAGGCCAGGGATCGAAGAGCGTATTGTACTACGTGAACATCAGCAGTGGCAGAAACAGCATTGGAGGTGGCATGACGCTCGTAGCGCTCGCAAGCTAGCAGAGCAGTATTCCAAAGTTGCAAAGGGTCTGTGTGGTCGACGCCAGGGTCAAGAACAGCAGCATGAATTGCGGAATCTGTTCCACCAGCAGTAGATGCGTCAACTGGACCAAATTCCCTGGTCAAAGATTCGTGGCTGACTTGAGCAAGAGCAGCCCAGGCTGGTGGCACACCGTTAGCAGGAAGGTCTTGCAAGGATGACATGTCAATGGTGATGTCAGCATAGTAAGGGTTGTGTTGCGTGAGCCAGAGCAGAGCGCGATGGACTGCGCTGCGTCTCACGACGAACTCCTTGGAGAAATGCAAGTTGCTTTGCAATGCATCTGTGAAGAAGACACTCAGGTAGTCAGAGACCTGCGCTGCAGAGACTGGAAGTTGTGAAAAAATTGTAGCGGCATTCTGCGGGAATGCGATGGCACTGGTAGTGCCAAGCATGCCTTGTTGGCGTGCTTCTGGGTCACCAGAAGGAGTCAATGTGCGGAGCCGACGGGCAGCAAACCCTCGTGCAATGAAAAGTTGTTCCCCAAAGGACAATGACTGGAGTTCCTCTGGTGCTGGTAGACAGAGATTGTTGTTGGCTAATGCAGATGGAGGCAAGGTGGGCGACGCTTTGCGGAAAGACCGAGCACACGGGACACATGCCAGGCACTGCAATGAGGCAGTTGGATCGAATGTTGCGATTTTCCATGTTTCTTGAGCATCTGGTGCAAGGTGCAGGAGCCAAACGTCCTGAGGCAAAAGTAATAACCGAAAACTCGCGCCGGGAACTCTGACTGGCAAAAAAAAGGAAATATATGCAGATTTGACAGGAAAGGAATCTGATGACCGACCGATTTTGTTGGGAACTGTTATTGGCAGAAAAAGGAACATATGTAAATTTGGTAGGTAAGAAGCAGATGCATCAGGATTGACCTCTATAGGAGCAGGTACGAAGAATTCTTGTAGTCGTTGGAGTGTTAGGCCACGGAAAGCTGGTGGTACATCGAGAGTGGCATAGTTGGCAAATTCTTTGAGGAAAAGAGTTCCAGAAAGTAGGGGATGCAGCTGAGCAAGGTCGCATGGTGGGGCGCGGAAGTCCAGCAGTTCGAAGGTCATGTCCCAGATTGGGCACGCGCAGATGCCGCAGAGGCGGGGTGGTTGTAAACACTGATGAAACTGTTCATGGTATTCCTTTGCATGCGCCAGGAGTATGGAAGCTGGAATAGCTGAAGGCCACTTTTGAGCAGATTTTGCCAGGCGCCGAGAGCGAGCAGTGGAATTTGCGGCTGGTTGTACATCTGTGGAATAGAATGTCGGTTCTGAAGCGGTGGTAGCAGCTGCTGTTGCTAGGACTGCAAGACGTTCTGCTGAAGATCGGCACCAGAAATCCCATTGCTCTGCAGGGTATTGCATACAAACATCGAAACAATGTAAAAATTTGTCTAGGGGCATCACAGGTCGAGTAGCCAAGTAATGCAGTAGTTCTGCTGTGACGATGAGTAGATGTGCTGGAATTGTTCGTCGCCACCGTTGGTCTTGATAGCGGCGCAGTAGTGTGATCTGGTTTGCATGGGTACCTGAGATCTCTTGAATCGTTTGCCATAGATCATGGAAGGCATCCGTCGACCAGGCTTGTTGTTGGAAACAAGATGTTTGCTGCAACAGTTCGACAGTCTGCGCGAAGAAATCTAGGCGTGGCCCCAAAACCAAGGAGAACCAAGGATGAGCGGCATATTCACACATTTTCCAGTGAAGGTCACATGGTTGGGAGAGGATCTGTCGTGCTTCTGCTACGTTAGGGACTGTGATGAGAGAGTAACGACGTCGGAGGAATAGGAACACTTCAGCGAAGTACTGGTAGCGTGGAATGTTGGAGCGGTGCCATCGAAAGTTCCCGGCAGGAAAAGCAGGTGCCTTGATCCTTTGACTCTCTATATTAATCACACCATTTGAGGTGGGATAATCTTTGACGGAAATTAAAGCTGCATGCCAGAGAAACTCAAAGTCGGGTACGGAGAAGACCTCACTCTGGATTTCAGGTTGGACGCGAAGAAAATCTCTGATTGCGTTCAGGCGAGCAAGCAAGGCGACGCTGTTGTCGCCGGGGCGGAAGTCACAGTTGTATCTGTGACCCCTGTAGCGAAACCGAGCTTGAATTCGCTGAGTTTCGGCAGACATCTGTGGCAATGAAAAATGAGTCAAGCTTTGTCTGCTGAAAAAGATCAGATGAAGTTGGGGCAACCTTGAGTTCAGTATGACTGATGTAGAGTGGTGAGCAATGAAATATTAGAGATAAGAATGGCGGGAGTGGAGAGCAGATTCTGGTGTGAATGGACAGTGGACATGTAATGGAGTGAGTGGAAAGCAAGTGAAAGCTAGCTGCTGCAGAAGCGGACATAGATCTGGCGCGATTGTGAAATATTTTTGCTGTGGCATCTCTTTGCATTGCAGAGTCCTGTTGCCGTACATAAGTTCGACATCTCTGACATGTCCCCATGAGTGGCTGAGATTAAGAAATTAACTCTGCGTGAGTGGTCCTCTAAAATCCGCCCGCACCGAAGGTGCTGGGGCGTG